GGGGGGGGCGTGGGGACGGGGGGTTTTGTAACGTGGTTCTGTGCACTATTAAAGAGAGATGCAGCTGGAATTGTTTGTCGGGGGGAGCATCCCAACAATGGGACTGAGACCCCCCTACAGCCCCTCAATAGTGAGAGGGGGGTGGTAAGAGGGGTTTGGGAGAAAATGACCCCAAATGGGTTGGGGGAAGAAGAAATAGTAGTGATTTTGTGGGAAAATTACCTAAAATGAAGGGGAATAATAGTGAGTTTGTAGGAAACCGACTCAAAGGAGGGAGGGCCTGATAATAGTGATTTTTTTTGCGAAAATTACCTAAAAAGGGCTAGAGAAGTGGAAATAGTAGTGAATCTTTTGGGGAAACGACGCCAAATGGAGAGCAGTAATAGGGGTTATTGGGTGAAAAACATCCGAATCGAAGAGAATAAGAGGGAATTTATAGAATGACTCAAATTAGGCAGCCCTCGCCTCAGTTTTGGGTACGAAACCCTCACTAAGGACATCAGTAATGGTGGGGGAGAGACCCCGAGTGAGGGCATTGAGACTCCCCGGATCGCCTCCTGTTGTGGAGGGGAGCAATAATAGAGACTTTGGCGGGAAATTACCTCAAAAGAGGAATTTTTTCCTGTGTCCGTGAGGGGGTCGAGGGAGAGAGCGCTGAGGGGACGAAAAGGGCGGGAAGCGCCAGGGGTGCGGAGACCCCCAGATCCCCGTCCCTCACAGCGGGAAGAGGCGGAACGTGCCCGTGGTGGAAAATGCTGATTTTCCGTGAAACCTCCCCAGAACGGGGCGTTTCCCCCAGCGGGGGGGGGTGGTGGGGGGCGAGTCCCCTCAGGCCGGGGCGGGCCGGCGCTGAGGGGACGGGGAAGGCGGGAAGCGGCGCCGCGCAGCGCGGGACGCCAGGGGGCGCTGCTCCCGCCATGCGGCCAATCAGCGGCAACGCTGCGGCGGGGGCGGGGCCCGCGGGAGCGGGAAGATGGCGGCGGGCGGCAGCGGCGGCGGCGGCACCGGGCCGGGCGCGGAGCGCGGCGGAGGCCCCGGGGCCCGCAGGGGCAGCGCGGGCCGGGACGCGGAGGCCGAGGTTTGGTGCCGGCGGGTGCGGGAGCTGGTGAGCGCGGTTCCCGCCAACCGGCTCTGCTTCGAATGCGGCCAGCGCGGCGTCACCTACGTGGACATCAGCGTGGGCAGCCTCGTGTGCACCGGCTGCTCGGGGGCGCTGTGAGCGGGGCGGGGCCGTGGGTGTGAGGGCGGGGCCGTGGGGGCGCGGCTGAATGAACCCGGAGTAGGCGGGGCCAGGGCGCGGTGGGCGTTCCCCACCGGTCAGGTTCTCATTGATTGGCTGTGTATGTTGGGGGCGGGGCTTAGCGGTACGTGGCTTCCCATGCGTGGGTCCTCGGAAGGCCCTTTTTCGAGAGAAAAAGCTCCAGTTTGGGTGTTTATGGGCGCAGGGGTGATGCTGACCCCCCAAATCCCTACCCAGGCGGGGACTGAACCCCCCCCACCGCGTCAAGTCCATCTCCATGACAACATTCACTGAGGCTGAGGTGCTGTTCCTGCAGGCGCGTGGGAATGAGGTAAGGGAGGGGCTGGGGAGGCTTTGCCCTCTTCATCCCACCCTGCCCACATCCCCATGTCCCCTCCACGAAACACCCAGGCCTGCAGGCGGGTCTGGCTCGGCACCTTCAACCCCCGGACTTCGCTGCTCCCCGACTCCCATGACCCCCAGAAGGTGAAGGAGTTCCTGCAGGAGAAATACGAGAAGAAACGATGGTACGAGAGGAGCTGGGGCACGTTTGTGGTGGGTAGCACAACGTGAGGATCCCTCAGTCAATATTTTGCCCTCCCATGACAGGTACGTGGCACCAGAGCAAGCGAAACCCTCCCAAAGCACCACAGCGGAGCCCAGGCCCCCTCAGCTCCTCCATACGGACACAGGGACACTGCCACAGGTGAGACCGGGCAACTTCTGTGGGTGCCCAGGGGGAATGCCACCTCCTGACCTTGTGGTGTCACCCCAGCCCCACGCAGCCACCCACCATCCTCCTCAGCCGTCCCGAAAGGCCAGCACCGACCTCCTGGCTGACATTGGGGGGGACCCCTTCGCCGGCCCTGCCCCAGGACCTGCCTTTGCTGCTTTCCCTGGTGAGCTCAGGGGCTCAAAGGGGCACAGGGGGGCTCCAGGAGGGCTGGGAGTACTGTGGTAGTGGAGCACAGGGGTCTCTTGGGAGATTGGTGACCGGCTCTGAGTGACCCCAGCCCTGTCCCCAGGCCCAGCCCCACCCCAGTCTGCCTTCCCCAGTTTCAATGCCTTTGGAACCAGCCCTGGAGCACCGACATTTGGGGGAGCTGTGCCCCCCTTCCACATCCCACCCACCACCACAGGTACCCACCAGTACTCTTGGGGGAGGGCTTGGGGTCCTCCTCTCACCCTGTGGGGGACTAAGGAGGGGTTTGGTGGCCCCCCATACCTTTGGGACACCTGGGCTTAATGGGCAAGGGAGAGTTGGGGTCTCCCCATTCCTTGAAGGGTTCTGGGGAGGGGGCTTGGGGTCTCAACACCACTCCATGGTAACTGTGGGGTCAGTGGGGAAGGACATGGGGGCAACCTGAGATGCCTGGAATTTTTGGGAGCCCCTCATGGTTTCTCTCTTGCACCTGCAGGAGGTGTGGCTGCACAGGGCGTGGCCACCCTTGTTCTGCCCACAGTGGGAGGAGCTTCTGTCAGGTACTGCCCCCCCCACCTTCCTCCCCCCACCTTGCCAGAGGTGCAGCACTTGACCCTCCTCCCCACTGCAGCCTCTTCAGGACCCTCCGTGACCCCCCAGTGCTGCCCCATGGGGGTAAGTCAGGGTTCACCCCACCTTTGGACCCCTAAAATCGACAGGGGGTCCAGGGGTGACACCTATGCCCCCCCCAGGCTATACCAACCCTTTCACGGCCCCCGTGGCCCCCAGACCCTCCACCAACCCGTTCCAGAGCAACGGCCCCGGTGAGTGATCCTGCGACACTGCCCCTCTCCTGACCAGGGTGGATCTGGGGGGCCCCAATTCTGTCTTCCCTTTTTTTAGGTGCCACATTCATCTCCCCCCCTGTTCCAGGGAGGTTCCCCAGCCCCTTCCAGACTGACGGTAAGAGCTGGGGGAAGTGGGAGTGTTAAATATTGGGGCATCCACTGCCCAAGCCCCCACTGACCCCTCCCCATTTTGCCCCCCAGGGTTGCCTTCCGGCGGGTTCACCGTTGCCAAAGCTTCCACCAACCCCTTCGTGGTGAGGAGGGGACCAGGGCAGAGAGGGCGGTTCCTGAACCCTCATTCTCTGCTGCTGACCCCCGCTTTGTGCCCACCAGACGGCCCCGGCCCCGGCGGCGCCGTTCGGCATCAGGCACCCGACCACCAACCCCTTCCTATGACCGCAGCTGCTCGTGGGGGACCCGGCCCGGCCCTCACAGCACCCTCGGCTTGTCGGGGGCCCTGGCAGTGCACCGCCCCTCCTCCTCCGCCGGGACCAGGTTTTATTTTTGTTCCGAGAGATTTATCGTGATATTTAATATATATTCGATAGAAGCGGCTTCGATCTGAGGTGCCCCCTCCCTCAGCTCCCCTCCGGTTTCCCGGGCCCTGGCTGCCGCCCTCAGTAAAGATGGTGGCTCCGCCCCCCCCCCCCCCCCCCCCCT